TTTAAACGTTCTAATCCCGAGATATTGTGATGAGGATCATGTTGGGGCGACGCAACGCCCGCGACCTGCGCGCGTTTCAAAAAAACGTCGCGACAGGTTATTCACGGGATTCACATACTAACTACACGCTTGCTCGCAAGCAGAATATCAAAGAGCGAAAACAGGATTCAAAGCAAAAATATGTTTTTCTCTTTTTTTTTATCACCAAGAAAGGAATAGGAGGCGCCTCCTGAGGTCTGGCGCCTGGAGCGCTCGCTCCGTTCGCCTTATGGTAGGGCCGGCCCTGCTTAGGGCTTGGTTGCCCCCTGGGGATCCTGGTAGAAAAAATGGCATCGCTCCCCAAAATATCCGCAGAAAAACATGTTACGGTTTGTGATGGGGATAAGCATTCGAAGGCCGCGGCATTTCTTCATTGGCCGCGGCTCGCCCTGCTCCTAATGCGTTCGACTAACCATTTTACTCTTTTCGCTCTGTGTTCAGGTTACTATGAAACTGCTCTTTATCCGCTCCAACTCCGTTCTGCCAAGCTGAACTCACCCCTTATATTACGTCACAACTTTGCCAGGATTACGCCGAAAAGTTCACAACAAAACCCAACTTTTTGCCGTAGCGGCAGCGTAATGTCAAAAATTCAAGATGGCTGCATTGCCGCCAATGGAATCGTACAAATTAAATCACATGATTAGTCACGCTCATGTTACGCTTACGTCAATTACGCCCGTGGGTTCTCGCCCTTATTCTTTATTCAAAAATAAAGGTTTTTTTTTTACTTGACGGAAATCGGTTAATAAATGAGAATGCTACGATTTTTTTCAAGAATAGCACCAGCCGCCATCTTTAATTCATCATGGCGGAAAAAGCAAGCCTCCTAGGAGGTGTAACTTTTTTTTTACAGATTACTATTGATGGGTATTATCATCTGTGAAAAAATCAGCTTGATTGCAAAAACTTCTCCTATTTTTGCTAACTGCCCTGGCCTATATAGTTTAATGGGTTTGTGTGCCAATGACCGGCCATATTTCATATATTTGTATGTCAAAGGTCACGTGTTTAATGCTCATGACTGTACGTCAAAACAAAAGTGTCGTGTCAAATGAAAATAGCTATATTTACCTAACAAGTGCGGAAAAACTTTTTCCGCACTGATATGCGTGCGGCAAAAGTTTTACCGCACCGTGCGGGAAAACGCATTTTCCGCACGGATATCAGTGCGGAAAACTGATTTTTCCGCATGGCTGTAGGAAAAATATGTAACCGAAAAAACCTCAATGGAAACTCATTTTCCGCACGGATATCAGTGCGGAAAATTGATTTTTCCGCACGGCTATAGCAACATTATATAACCGAAAAATCGACATTCGGTGCATCACCGGTTTCAAACAGCTGAAGGCTGATCATTCCGGTCAATTTTGGAACGGACGATCGGGTTCAACCGGTAAAAAGCAGGGCCGTAGCTAGAGTCAAATTTGTGATAGGGCATGACAAATTTGACATAGGGCATATACTACTTCCCCCCTCCCCCCTAAATTATAGGTAAATAAACTGGGGGTAATGGCGCCGAAGGCAAATTTTTCAATAAATAACACATGGCAAGTAAACAAAATGGCGCTGATTATCGCGCCGCCTTGGACCATTCGCACCAAGGATAATACACACTAATAGTGAAATCCATTGCTAAGTTCAGTGCGCACTGAGAGTATTCCTGTCGTCTTTTACTGGCATGTAAAAGAAAGTGACAGAAATACATACTTTTTGCACTAATTTTACCAATGGTTTTTGCCATAAGTACCACTGTAGGATAGCATATCCTCATAAGGCCTGTGTAGATGAAATCTCAAACCCCCTACCACGCCAAAGAACCAGTGATGACGTAGCCAGCGTGTCGTTTTTCTCTTGACGTAGGGTGTTTGCACCACAGGTTATGATTCCGTGGGCTTTTGCTTTATGCATACCACAAGACATTAGCCGTACCCCGATCATAGGGCTTCGGAGTCGCGCGCATCACATTTATTGTCAGTTCTAGCCAGCGTTCCACAGATGATCACTGATCAGCTGATTATTTGTTAAGTTTTAAGCCCCAAATTATGTTATCGTAATCTGAAAATATGTACTTTCTGCCCTGTGTTTCCAGAAAAATTGACAATTTTTGAAAAAATAAAATTCAAGGTTTACGGTTCATGTTCATTTTTTGAAAACTTAAATTTCGGATTTTTAAAATTTTTATGTTTTTGATTCAAATTTTTTTAGCACGAATAGCTTCTTTCTTTTAGACAGAAAATGCAGACTAACCCAAACTAACCTGTCCATCTAGTGGGATCTAGTCCTCATAAGTTACTATTTTATTAAAAAGCGCGCTTTGTTTTTTAAATAAAATGCTAATTTACAAAGACCTAGATTGCACTAGACGGTCGGTTATTTTGGGTAAGTCTGCATTTTCTATCTAGAAGGCCTCAATCAAGGCCTGGTTCTAAATTGAACATAAAGAGAATCTGTGATGAAGAGGTTATATTATCAATCAATTCACCAATCTTGAATCTACTGGAGATATTCCGTGCGCCAATCGCCGACCTTTAAAAAATAAACTAAAGGTCTGCCACTTGCGGAGTTATTTAAAATATGTAGTTTCACTATTTTTGTTTAATTATTTTCAAAGCTCAACATAAAGATTACGATATCAAGCTTCAAACATAAACAAATAACAAAACAATAAAACAAATAATCAGCTGCTGGAACTGACAAACAAAGAAATGACAGAGGATGCATGCGCGCGACTCCGAAGCTCTGTGACTGGGGTACGGCTAATGTCTTCAAGTCTTATTATGCATACCTACTTGGTTTTAGTACATTAATAATTAACATTCTAAAACAACGCTTTTTTAGATCTTCTTCTTTGCCTATTATGTTAATCAAAATTAAATGACATTTTTCATCCAAAATGTATATTCTAAACTACGACCGCTACTAACCCAAACTAACCCAAAAAGTTCCTCTGTGTAAACGTCGAACGTCAAACATTATTGCATACATTTAGGAGTTTTCGGAAACACTTATCCTCGCACTTACTCGATTTCAGGCCTATTCAATCTTCTCTTAAATTTCCTAGAAAAACCTTAACGCATGTTGTGTATTAAAGGTAGGGCATGATCATTTGAAAGATAGGGCATTGCCCCTCAATGCCCCCCCCTGGCTACGGCCCTGGTAAAAAGTCGATACATTTTGGAACGGTTTGGTGAGTAAACTATTTAACCGGTATCGCACAATTTTGGAAAGTGCCCTAGTTGTCTACTGTTCAGACAGACAGTAATCACAAACCAGTCAGAGCAAATTTCTTTGGTTGAAAACAGTCAGAAAACTAGTTCCTTTCAGCCAATGAAATTCACTCTGTGATTTCTGTGGGATCAGACCTATTATATTTATAGGTACTAGTTGTTTTTCACTATTTCAAAAACTAGATGTGTGCTGTGTTATAGATTCATAACAACTCAGTCTAGTTGTGTTAGACATTACTCTAGAAAAATAGTTATGTAAAAACGTCACAACCAAACAGTTGCAGATTTTAAAAAAATTGAACTTTCAGTATGTACCATTGCGATAAAAAAAAGTAGTACCTACAAAAATTATTAACCGCAAGTAATGTTGAATTTTCAGACCAGGAGATTTTGGAGATTTCTGTTGTGGTAATTTTTTTTTGATCGCAATGGTACCTATATATAGGAAATTAGTATAAGTTGTTGATAGAGGGCGGTACTTTCGAGTGACCATTCGAAAAAAATAATAATTTGGACAAATCATATTTTTTATTCTCAATTTTCCACCAGTAGTACTTAAAAAAGTCTGTATGTACCTAGTAGTACAGGGTTAGCAACGAAGCGCGCGTCGGTCTATAAGTTCTAAAAATTTCTTTCATGTCACTCTATACCTATACTATTCGTAAGACTCTATTTTACGATTTTTTTTTTATACAGGGTGGCCCAAATAAGCGTGATGATTAAAAGTCGTTTTTAGATGAGACACTTTGTATTCTTTTGGATATTTCAGTTCACTCGCCGAATCAAAACCTACCTAGAAAAAAAAAATACTAGAAAATGTAAGGACAATATTATGAGTCCTTGATATGGAATGAGACGAAAAAGGTCTAAAGTTACTGTCAACCTATTTACGTTTGAGGAATTATGTACAGGGTGTTTAAAATTATCGTCGAAATATATTTCAAACTAATTTTTCTCACTTTTTTTCAAATGGAGCCCCCTGTATATTTTGCTACTATATCTACTCGATGCAGAATTAAAAAACGAATCTTTTTTGTAACTAACTACAACTTCATCCATAGGACCGCTTAAATTTATAGATATTTCATGACAACTAATAAATAATGCGCAACTTTTTATATTGAAATTGCCCTAAAAAAGTTAACTGGTTAACGTTAGGAATGCAGCATGTAGTACCTACCTTCTTCAGTTTGATCTGAGCGGTGACCAGCACAGTTTTTGGTCACCATACGAATGAGGCATGGCATATGTGACGATGTAAACCATTCTATGTAGGTTTAAGCCCCAAAAGCCCCCATGTCTTGCTAACAAGTTTGCGTTATGCAAACTTAAGAGTGCAGAAGTGATCAGAGACACTGCGAAATTATCAAGAATAAATATAAAAACGCAACAACAATAAATCTTCACTCTACCACTCAAAAAATTGAAATTAATATTGGGAACCAAAAATAATAAACATTGATGGAGAAAACCTCAGCTTTGTGGACGATATTCTCCTTACATCAGACAATTTTGGAGAATTTAAAAATGTGCTCGAGGAACTTCACAATTCCATGAAATTTGTTGGATCTAAAGAGAATTTCATCAAGAAACTGGATCGCAATTGCCCAAGATAGAGAAAATTGGAAACGTTTAAAGAAGGCCTGTGTTCGACAGTGGACGTGAAAAGGCTGTTTGATGAGGATGATTTCAACAAAGTTTGGTAAATATATTATAATTTATAATCACAAATTGTTTTTCCAAAAAAATTTATTACTTAAACGATTTCAAAATATAATACCCTTAAGAATAAACAGAGAATCTTTAATCTACTTCCAACTTCTTAAATGTACCTTCCATTCCAAAAATATCGCCTGCATTTTTGGGTTTTCCCAGACGTTTGCTTTCATCCACAATTTGAGAATCTTCGTATGCGAAGAATTCTGCGTTGTCATTAATCATTTTACGGACCTTTTCTGCAAAAAATATGTGATTGAGAATTATTATGAGCCACACACATATGAAAAAGGTTTTATCGTTATCATTATATACTAAAAACCCCAATTCTACTTCAAACATATATATATATATATATATATATATATATATATATATATATATATATATATATATATATATATATATATATATATATATATATATATATATATATATATATATATATATATATATATATATATATATATATATATATATATATATATATATATATATATATATATATATATATATATATATATATATATATATATATATATATATTCTATTCAACTAAAATTTAAATAAATAAATGATAAATACATTGAAAATAAAATATAGTTTTATTCATCCTCAAAATACACGAACAAAATAACGTTTTTTCTAATACTTTTCACACTGCCGCTTCCATCAATTTTCTTTAAAAGCATATGATTTACTGAGACTAAGCCAACAGGCTTGACACCGTTCAATGTGTCTTTGCAAACTCCCAAATCCACATTATGCTCGTAAACTTCACCCAACTCTTCTGTCGAATATTCAACTTTTACAAACTTCCCCAATATCAACAAATAATAGGTTTTGTCCGATTCGAATTTCAACACGACGTTTCGCAGAATCAATTTGCTATCTTCATGCTGTTTGAAGTGTTCCCTTCCCATTTCATCTAGCTTGCCACTCCACTGACAATCTTGCACAGGACATTCTCTTTTAGGTTGTTTATCGCAGCTCATTTCGTGCTTTTTGAGGTTTGAGCCGCAAAAAATTTTCTTGCAACCCTCCCACTTGCATTCAAACTTAATTTTGCCGCAAAGCAAATGTTCGATGGTCTTGCACTCGTCCAAAATCGGTTCATTTCCTATACAAGTGTGCGTGAATCGTTTGAGGCTAAAGTCGAAGCAATAGTAACAATAAAAGTGCTTGAAACTTGCACATCTGTGCCAGAAATATTTTTGTCCGTAGCTCAAGTTACGATCGCCGCAATGAAAACAGAGAGGCCTAATGTTTTTGAGTTGCCTGAAGTTGAATGAGTTACCTTCTTCCCCTAGAGCCACTGTTGGGTATTCTTCTTTAACTTCTTCATCGAGATATATTTGATTTTTTGGTAATAATTGTTCCATCGTTGCACACACTTACTGATTTTTCAATGAAATATTTCTATTTATTTTAAAGGTATAATGCTTTTATACTACTTAACGCTTATCTCGAATTATCGGTGTTGTAAATGCTTTTTTCAAGACGTCGCTTAGGTAATTGATTAAGTAATGACGCAAATAAGATAAAATAATCTTACCGTGTAAAATGTTGTTTGGTTCACTCTGGCCTCCTTCATCTGCTGGAAGACATTCTTTTGGAACGAATTTGTAGAAAGATTCCATTCCACTTGCATGAATGTACAACTAGAAAGAATAATTATTTATTTATTTTCAAGGGTGTTTTATATTTTAAAGTGCCATCGTCTCATCGTCACCAAAAGTAACTGAGTGCAGCATCACATTAGCTCTTGTCACTGTTGCCAGATCAAAAAAATGTAATTCACCAGAAATCTTGAAAGTTGATTTTTCAGGAAAATTCTCGCCTTACGGGCTTATATCAAACCAAGTAGGCTTTGGAAACATCATGTATGTATTGCAATGACAGTATTACAGGGCGCCATATTTAAATTTTAAAATTTTGCAAAGCATACTTGTCAAACAGTGTTGCCAACTACAACTTATAACAAATATTGTGTCAATCATTGAGACTCGAATTTATACAAAAAAAAGCCCAAGTAGGCCTTGCAAATTTCAAATTTTCCATAACAGTAATTATATAAACATCGGCAACACTGTTGGGTAAAATGTCAAATATCATTTATGACAAGCCAAGCGATAAGATTACTACTTATCAAAAACTAAGTGAACCTTGAAGCAATCCTAGGCTGGGATCATGACAAGTAGAATTCTATTTTCATGACGTCACCCGCAACCTATTTATCGCGTATACAACAGGTTACTCTATGCTACAGGCGATGATCACTGTTGCTAGGCAACCTGACGTCATGAAAATAAAATTCTACTTGTCGTGATCCCAGCCCAGGTTTTAATCGATGTCGGTAATACAGATAACTGTAAGCAAAAAATTTATCAAATCAAGTAGGTCTTGGAAACAACCCAGCCATTTTAAATTAACTGTCAAAAACTACAGGGCCTACTTTGAATCGTTAAATTGCGTTAGGGTTACTACATTTTTAGACTAGGGTTGCTACGTTTTAAATTTTTCTTCCAGAACCTAAGGCGATTTTCAGCCTGGAATGATTGTTTATCGGTAGATACCGTGGTTATTCTTTTGGTTGACAACTTTGACAGCCAAGTGTGACGTCATAGACCCCCACCAATTAAGAATCATAACCCAAGGAACTGACCGCTGAAATGATTTGGTTATAGAAGTGTAGGATTATGTTTATTATTCTTATTTGTTTTTTCGTTCCAACAATGGTTTGTTGTTTAGGTACCAAAAATGGAGCAGAATCTCTCGTTATAGTCTCGTTTATCAAACAGATTTTCTTTGGGGATGATCTAAACATGGTGAGTTGCAGTGAGTAAGTAAGTGTATACTTCTTCCATTGTGCCAGGCCACAACAGAACTGCAAAATCACAAAACACCAATACCAATTCCCAAAATAATAACAATAACATCAAAAAGCTGTAACCAAAAGATTAACCCAAGTCCAAAGCTGGGTTATAATCGGTTATAAGTGGTAAATACCAAAAGCAAATCAGCTGATATGTGACGTCACAACTTCCCCTACTTTGGTTAAAACCGCGACGGCGGAAATGCGTTGGTTATAACCAAATAATAATCATTCCAGGCTGAAAATCGCCTCTAATAATTTTGAGAATTTTAACAAATCCTTTGCTAAAACCAGTTCAGAGAAAATATATTTCTATCTCTTTTTTATACAAACTAGTAAAAAAAGATACGAATACACTCAGTGCACACTAATGCCGTTGAAAATAATGCAAATTGAATAAAACAATTAAGCAAAAATAGAGCTTCAAAAGACGTAATTAAACATTAAAGATTATAATATTTGGGTTTGACAGTTTGACTATTAGATGACATTGTAGCCCATAGGCAAAATGTCGGATTTGAAATTCGATAATGCCATATGGTACAGGAGAAAATGTGGCTCATCGTTGCCACATTTTGCACAATATCTTAAGAAGCTTAACAATTGGATATTGGAAATCAGGTAATCAATTGAGAATGATATAGGAATCCCCAAAAAAATGGAAATCACCTGGTAAATATTTAACAATCATAAATAACTAGTTGTAATTCTTGGGAATACATGGGATTTATTGATCAGTGATTGTAGTAAATTTCAACCCCCTTGTGTTAAGATGTATTTTCTAATCTGTTATTAAAGTTATGAACCTTTTATGTTTGTTTGATGCCTCATACTTCCTAAACAACATACATAACATGGTGGCAGCGCGTGAAAATGCAGTTCCAGAACGATATGTAACCGGCAATAGTTTCTTGAACTGGTAAGATTATTTACAAAGTAAAGGGGCTCTGTAGCGGAAATTCCTGGTTGAAAAATCCGCGGTACAACAGTTAAACTTCTGTGTCTGTATTAAGGCTGGACTTTTGTGTCTGTAATTTATGCGACTGAATTAATCTCTAGAAATAGTTATGACTGAATGCAAATCATTGGACAACTTTAGCTTTGTTGGAGGCAAGAGGCAATGTTGCGGATAGATGGCGGTTATGGCAGCAGAAGTTCGAAATATTTCTGCTGGCCAGTGGCAAAGCCAATAAGCCTGAAGAACATAAAACAGCACTCTTGTTACACTCCTTAGGTGATGAGGGAATCCAAATCTACAATACTTTTGAGTTTGAACAAAATGAGTCTAAAACAAATTCGGAGTGTGTGCTGAAGAAATTTAGTGCATACTGCAATCCACTTAAAAATTTAGTTTTTGAACATTTCAAATTTTTCAAACGTGATCAGTTACCAAGCGAAACTATAGATCAGTTTGTTACCTCATTAAAACAACTGGCGTCTACGTGTGAATTTGCAGAGAAAGATGTCCTCATTCGAGACAGGATCGTTCTAGGGATAAGTGACTCCAGAATCCAGGAAAAATTACTACAGTTTTCAAACTTGGGAATACAAGAAGCAATTAATATTGCCAGATCCATGGAAAGCAGTATGTAAACACACAGCGCGAAATTGCTAAAAACACTGGTTTGGACTCAACTGATGTGAGCGTTATTAAAAAACATTTTCCGAAGAATCGTCAATCTCCAAAACATGAAAAATGTTTATCAAGGCAATTTTCCAAGTTGAAGATTGGTACTCAAAAATGTTGTGGATATTGTAGTGCCACTCAATTTAACAGAGACGACAATTCAAACTTCGAGCCAGTTAATGTAACATTTAAATGTGGTAAGTGTGGTTTAAGTCATCCTAAAAATAGATGTCCAGCTTTCAGAAGAATCTGTTCTGGTTGTGGCCAACCTGGACATTACCGTAAGTTTTGTAAACAGCCGGTTTATGTTATTGAACAAGATATCTGCACTTGCGAGAATATTGAGGAACATGTAATCGATGATAGTGAATGTGACCATTCTGTTGCCGAAAATGCTTGTGGCTCGTCTTGCGGCGTAAAAATTAATGGTGATGAAGATGATTTTCCGGTTATATGGACTATCTTAGAAGACTCGATAGAATGGTTTGAAAAAATTCATATTAACAATTTGGTTGTAAACTTAAAAATTGATACAGGTAGTTCAGTTAATATTTTAAATCAGAAAGACTTCAATTTATTGAAAATAGGGTGGGATCAACTTTCTCCAGTTTCATCAAAATTGTCTTCTTATTCTGGTCATAAAATAACTGTAATTGGTCAAATTGATTTGCATTGTATTTTTAAGAATTCCACTAAAATTTTGTCTTTTTATGTTTCAAATAATGCCAGAATCCAGGAAAAATTACTACAGTTTTCAAACTTGGGATTACAAGAAGCAATTAATATTGCCAGATCCATGGAAAGCAGTGTAAACACACAGCGCGAAATTGCTAAAAACACTGGTTTGGACTCAACTGATGTGAGCGTTATTAAAAAACATTTTCCGAAGAATCGTCAATCTCCAAAACATGAAAAATGTTTATCAAGGCAATTTTCCAAGTTGAAGATTGGTACTCAAAAATGTTGTGGATATTGTAGTGCCACTCAATTTAACAGAGACGACAATTCAAACTTCGAGCCAGTTAATGTAACATTTAAATGTGGTAAGTGTGGTTTAAGTCATCCTAAAAATAGATGTCCAGCTTTCAGAAGAATCTGTTCTGGTTGTGGCCAACCTGGACATTACCGTAAGTTTTGTAAACAGCCGGTTTATGTTATTGAACAAGATATCTGCACTTGCGAGAATATTGAGGAACATGTAGTCGATGATAGTGAATGTGACCATTCTGTTGCCGAAAATGCTTGTGGCTCGTCTTGCGGCGTAAAAATTAATGGTGATGAAGATGATTTTCCGGTTATATGGACTATCTTAGAAGACTCGATAGAATGGTTTGAAAAAATTCATATTAACAATTTGGTTGTAAACTTAAAAATTGATACAGGTAGTTCAGTTAATATTTTAAATCAGAAAGACTTCAATTTATTGAAAATAGGGTGGGATCAACTTTCTCCAGTTTCATCAAAATTGTCTTCTTATTCTGGTCATAAAATAACTGTAATTGGTCAAATTGATTTGCATTGTATTTTTAAGAATTCCACTAAAATTTTGTCTTTTTATGTTTCAAATAATGCGGGACCGAAATCAATTTTAGGACTACCTGGTATTCAAGCTCTCAATATAATTAAGACTCAAGTTAAAACTACTCAAAAAACTGACTCGGTATCAAATGACATTTCAAACCCTGTTAACTCATGTAACTTTAAAAACTTGAAAAATTTAGACAGTAATGGACAAAGAATTCTTGACAAATTTAAAAATGTTTTTCACGGTATAGGTATAATAAACAAAAAACACAAAATCATTTTAGAGGATAACGCAATACCTTGTATCAGTGCTTGTAGGAAAGTTCCTATTGCTTTAAGAGTTAAAGTAAAGCAAGAGCTAGACAAGCTTGTTAAAGATAACATCTTAGTACCTACCTGTGGATGAGCCTTCAGATTGGGTCAACCCGATTGTGGTGGTTCCTAAACCAAAGCGTGAATTTTTTCAAATACCGACACCAGATTTCTTGTTCTCTCAGTTATCAGGAGCTAATTATTTTACATTATTAGATGCCTCTTCAGCTTTTTTGCAGTCCCGTTAGACTATGAAAGTTCCCTTCTTTGTACAATTATAACTCCTTTTCGTAGGTACAGATATTTACGCCTTCCTTATGGGT